GGGGGTTGGACTGGATGATCTCCTGAGGTCCCTTCCAACCCCCACCAGTCTGGGATTCTGTGAGTCTTGCAGAGATGAGGACCACTGAGAGGAGCTGGAGGTGATGTGAGTTGAGGGGAGGGAGGGCAGAAAGGTCAGGTTGCATTTTCTTTCACATCTGTTGCAAACCAAACTGGATTTGTTGCTTTATCAGCCTTGTGTTTCTTTCCTCCTAGTGATCTCCATGCGCTGCATGGTCCAGTTCATCGGCCGGGAAGTCAAATACAGGTGAAGAGCTGCAGCTCTGAAGGGTTTGGACACACAGAACCATGAGTCCTGGTGTCAATTGTGCCAAACTCTGCCTTGCAGTGGGGAATGTGGCAACACAGGAGGTTTGGGAGACTGAAAAATGAATCTGAGGTGTGGTTAGAGGGTGGGTGAATGGGGGATGAAGGAGGTGGGAAGGCTGGGCTCTGTCCCTGGTGTACCTCAGTTCTGCCTTGTGCCCGTGGGGATTTTAGTGGCTGATCACACAGTGAGATTTTGGATCTTGCTGATCACACAGTGAGTCTCCTGCCTTTTTGCTTTAGGTGTGAATAGAAAGGGAAGTCAGCAGGGAGGCAGAGCAGGCAATACAAAGTGTTGCTGCAGCTCTGCTAGTCTGCAAGATTTTTTTCCAAGCCTTTTTCAGTAAAACCTGCCTTTCTGCAGAGCAAAACTACACATGCAGCCACCTGAAAGCATGCTGGACACTATTGCAGCTAACCCACAACTGCCAGCACAGGCTCCCAGACAGGACAGGGTTCTTGGCCTGAGAATCAGCCCGATCAAAGGATATTCTGTGCCATGGTTGCAGCATGTGTGTCCACTCACACAAAGCCAAGCAGAGCTCATCTAACTTCAGCACTTAAACAGTTGTCAGCAAGTTGAGTGTTGTCCCAGGTGTTATTGCAGACTGGAAGGATGCAGACACAACCCTCCTTCATGGGTTGAGGAGAAGGAGGAGAGTGAAGCTTCCTGCTGCAGTGCTGGTGTGGTGGTTTGGGGGGGACACTGCTATGGCTGGTGGCTGGAGTGCATGGAAAGCTGTGTGGGACAGAGACAGAGCAACCCCTGGGTGCTTATAGCTCTTCTCCTTTCTTGGCAGCGGTGTGTTCAGCGCCATTGGCAGGATATTTAAGGAAGAAGGGATCCTGGGATTCTTTGTGTACGTGAGTTGTTGTTTAAATACTTTCTCCCATAGTCAAAAAGTGCTGATGGGTCTCTTGGCTGCCCTGCCAACCTCAGTTAAAGGCGTCATGCTGAGCTCCCCCCATCTGAAACCTCATCTGACCACAGAACTCTCACATCACTCCCATGAGCACAGATTAAATCTGTGCCTTTGACACCGCTCCAGTTTGACCATTAAGTTTGCCCCAGATCTTATCTTCAAACCAACCTTCAAAGCCCAGAAAAAACCCTGTATTTTTTTCTTACTTTTTCCCTTGACACTTCTTTGTGTTCCAGTGAAGGGCCATTTAAAGCATTTGTTTGTGCAACAGGCACCAAGATCGAGTGCAACAATGAGACCCCTTGTTGAAATCAAAGCCAGGGCCCTGGATAAGAAGCACATTCCTCTGAAGAGCACTGTGGGTGCTTGTAAGGAGCAGGTGGTTTGTGCTGGCAGCAGGTTTGCCTGTACAGTAGAGTGTGATGCTGCCTGGACCAGAAGGAGCTAAAAAGACTCTTCCAGCCCTTATGAAACACAACAAATTGATGGTGTCATTGAAGTCTAGTGGACAACTTTTTGCCTGAACCCTTAATTAACACTTCTTGCCTTTTTTTCACATCTATATAAAAGCAGAACCACCTGCTGCCTCTGCTCCTGGTGAGGTGATAACTTACTATTATTATGTCAATAATAGTAAAGACAGCTCTGAAATTTCAAGAGGTGTTTTCAGGCCTGATGGCTTTGGCTCTGCAATCACAAAATTTGGGCCTCCAGATAAAACATGAACCCATCAGGAAGAGGGGAGCAATCACTGGGGGTCTTACCCTGTCCTCCCCCAAGGGGAAAGGGCCAGGGGTCTGCAGAGACCCCAGCAATCAAGTGTCACTGCATCTGCCTTTTGCAGCCCACAGCTTCTCTGCTGAGCTGTGCAACCCCAAAATTCCATTAAATACAGGTTCCTCTGGGATGTTCCCTGCACATGGAGCATGGCTGGAACAGGCTGCCCAGCAACCTTCCCTCTCCTCCACCTCTTGAGGAAATAATGTGAAAGGAGCCGCCGCATTCCCTTCCTCCACATAAAATAAACACTGCTGGTAGCCTAATTAAACTTAATAGTTTGCAGGAAAAGCTTTAACACAACCCAAAATGTCTCAGGAGGGCTCTGAAGTTATACGTGCTCTACAGCCCCGCTAGGAAATCACACTGCCATGGAGGGAACACAAACTGCATCTGTAGGACCAAAGTGCTGCTTTTCTGCTCCCAGCCCTCCTAACGCAATCCAAACACAACCACTCCCTTAAAATCCTTGTGGTGCACTTATTTCTCGTGGCCTCACTTATTTCTCGTGGCCTCATAACCTCTACACAGCAATAACAGCAGCACATGCTCACTGTAGATGTGTGCCTGGCTAAAGACTTTTCAGGGGATAGACTTATCTCACATCCCCTTGTATCTGCACCAGCTTCCTTCCTGCCAGAAGGCCAGCAAGATGTTCCTGGGGCTTTGAGATTGCTGCATGTGGTCACCTCAAAGATGGCTTGTCCCACCCCTGCTTGGCACTGGGGTTTTTTTCGAGCTGGGTCACATCACAGGCTTTACCATCTGCCTGCTGCTGTTTCAGCTTTTAATGACTTGTCAGCTTCTAAAAATATTCCTAGTCCAGACCTCCTTGGACATCTCACCAGGCGTGAGAGCTGTAGCACAAATGAATTTGGATTTTTTTAGTCCCTTTCTGCAGCTCTTTCAGACTCCTGGTCTTCAGTCATCCCATAAACACAGGCCCAGCATCCATCATGACTTTGATGATGGAGGAGAGGGATGGGGTCCTTATTGCAAACGGAACAAACGATCCTGTTCTCTATTGACAGATGGGTGAGGTTTTACTTACACGGCTGTGGTGGCCCAGTCTTCTGTTTCTGGACTTCACTAAGCCCCTGTTCTATCTGCAGCAGCTCAGGAGTCTGCTTCAGATTTGACTTTGAGTTAGAGAAGGGATTTTTTTGACAAAGGCTGAATGCTAAACACAAAGCAGACCATCTCTTTGGGACCGGAGAGCTTTGATTTCTTTGTCCTGTCTGTTGCTTGCACGTATCACATCTTTTAAGCCAACAGATCTATGAAGACTTCTGCTGTGCCTGGCCTCTGAGACCTCAGCTGCATCTCCAGAGCTGCCAGGGTCTTGACAATACACAGGTTGTCTCAAAAAGATATAAATCCTAACACCGAGGAAGCAGAGCAGGCTGGATCAGAGCCTGCAGTCCCAATCACCATTCTGCTGCTGCAGGGACCACAGCAGCAAACAAAACTGCTCCCTTGCTCCAACGAAGCAGGGAAGAAATGGGAGGTGGCTTTTTCCAGCCCAGCAAACACTTGTGTGGCTCTCAACAGGCTCATTTCAGAAGAACTGTTGGAACACATCTGCTGGTGACACCAGGTTTAAAGCACACCTGGATCCTTTTGCAGTGGAACAACTGCACAGCCAAAGCAGGAGGCCCTGTGCTCAATGCCGGTGCAACAGATGCTGCTGAAGTGCTGACAAAGTGGAAAACCCCTTTGAAATGCTTTGTTAGTGTTTTAGTGCCATTAGCTGCAGAAACTGGGGGTGTTTGTGCTGCTGGGAACTCCAGCTCAGGCATCAGGGAGAGGTGTGAGCCAAAGTAGCACATCACCCTGTGTCCCCACGCTCCCAGGTGGCAGCAGGGAGTGGGAAAAATCAGGGGGAGTGGGAAAAATCAGGGGGAGTGGGAAAAATCAGGGGGAGTGGGAAAAATCAGGGGGAGTGGGAAAAATCAGGGGGAGTGGGAAAAATCAGGGGGAGTGGGAAAAATCAGGGGGGTGGACTGCTGCCCCCAGTTAATCCCACTTTACAGCAGAGCAGTTTTTGCAGGAACAACCCCACTCATTTTAATTACTAAAAGGAGGGACATCCACAAAGAGAGAAACTTCTTATTTTACATCTGGAAGAGCATCTGCAAAACGAGTTTAACAGAAACCTGCTTCATCTGTGCCTTGCCTGGGTTTCAGAGCAGGAGTTGGGCCAAGAAGGGATTTGGGGTAGAACAAGGTGACTTGGCAGAGTTGTGCCCAAATGCCAGATCCCAAACTTCCCACTCCAGAGCATCCCCTGGCTGGATCAGCTGGCAGCTCACCTCACCCCATGTTGGAAGGGCAGGAGAGCTCTTCCCTGAAACCTCCTCTTTTCCCTTCAGTTCCTCCAAAAATAAAAATGCATTTTGGGGGAACAGGGTTCCTTTCTGCTGGTGGAGGGAGGGCTGGGCACCTTGGAAGGCAGCACTGGAACCCTTCTCCACCTCACCCCCCTCTTTTTGCCCCTGCAGTGGTTTAGTCCCTCACATCCTGGGGGATGTCATCTTCCTCTGGTGCTGCAACCTCTTGGCTCACTTCATCAACACCTACGCAGTGGATGATAACGTGAGTGGGAGTGTCTGATGGGGGGTTTGGGGGAACCTGTACCAAGCACCTGCACTTGGAAGGAGTTAATGGGAAGTGGGGGCTAATTTAATATGGACACGGGGCTTTGGTTAAAAAGCCCCTAAAGGTGCCGTGTCTGCTCGGGGCTGTTTCAGCTGCAGTTCAGGGGATCAGGTTTGATAGCAAACGTTCTCCCTGATTCTCAACAGTTAGTGTTGCTTTCTGCCTTCTTCCCCTGCCCTACCCCCATCATCTCCCGCTCAGAGGGATGTCACTTAATGACAGTCTGGTGTCATCTGCCTCCTCTACAATCCCTTTGGTTTCTCTTCCCAGTTCAGCCAGGCATCGGTGATCCGGAGCTACACAAAATTTGTGATGGGGGTACGTAGACAACAGTCTTGTCATTTCTCCTCTTCCTGCTGCCTGTGGGTTGAGAGCTCATGGTCTGGGGGAAAAGGCTGGTCTGTACTTTATATCCAAATGAGGATAACTTTGTTAACATGCAAAAATTGGGAGTAGCTTTTTTTTTGACATGGTGAATGTTAGAGAGGCTACTGGTTTTCTGTGCTTTCAGATCGCTGTGAGCATGCTGACATACCCATTCCTCCTCGTGGGAGACCTCATGGCAGTGAACAACTGTGGGTACGTCCGTCACACTGAGATCTAAGGCTTCCCCTTCCTTTCTTCCAGCCCCTTGTTGTCTGGATCCTCTGCTAATGATCATGAAGCTTTCATATGGAACCATGAAGTTTACGGCACCTCTCAGAGTCGGCTTGTTTCCTGTCCCAGGTTGCTTATAATTTTAGATCAGAGGGTACAGGCAAGAGCAGCATAAAAGCTCAAGTGGAGAGAAACAGGGCAAGTCATGGTGGTGTGGTCCAATCTGAACTAGGCCTGAGGCTGAAGGGATCAAAGGGACTGTGCTGGCTCTGGGGAGCAGCACGGGGGAAAGCAAAGCTTTTAATGATGGGTGAAGACAGGAGTAGGATCAGGCTTCCTTTCCCAGTCCCACTGATGTGGGAATCTTCTGCCTTCATGCTTGTGGGAAGGGGACTGGATCCAAGCTGCTGGTGTCACATCTCGATATCTGCTGCCTCTTGAAGGTGTAGGTACAGCGTATAGTCCTGGGCTGTCAGCGTATCCAGGTGACACTCCTTGTTTGTCCACTCCAGGGGTAATTAAATGACATGATCTGTTGCATTGTAAATAACGAGCCGGTCATTTGGCCTTCAGCCCAGTGCGGACACTGTTTCTGTGTCCTCACTTACACTCACTGCTGCTCGTGTTACCTCTGTGTGGATAACGTGACATCTGTACAGCCCATCTCAGCTCCCTCTCATTGTCATGCAGGTTACGCGCCGGCCTCCCTCCCTACGCTCCCGCCTTTGCATCCTGGATCCATTGCTGGAGGTATCTCAGCGCTCAGGTGAGGGTGTGGGGCACACGTGGGGGCTTTGGGCTCCCTCTGCTCCTTCCTGAGGTCTCCAGTGCTGCCCAAGAAGTGCCTGTGCCTCATCCTTGACATGCTCTGTAACCTGTTTCCATCCCTCCAGTTCCAGCACTGGTACCAGGCATGGCAGTACTGGTCTGCCTGTTACATGCCCGCAGGCTTTTGGCAAACACATTGCACACAGCAAAGCAGGGTGGCTCTGCCCCTCTCTGTCAGTCATCCCTGGGGAAACACCAGGGGCTGAAACCCCAATTTCTCCTCTGTAGGAGGAGAAACCCCAAATTTCTCCTCTGCCCTCTCAGGGCAGCCCGGGGTGCTCAGGCCTCACAGCCCTGTGGTGGGTGTGAGTCTGTCCCCACTAGCCCAGTTGGGGTTCCCTGGCCCAGGTCTCAGCACAGCTGCCCTGACCCTCTGCTCTCTCTCTCTCCTCAGGGGCAGCTGTTCCGTGGCTCCAGCCTGCTCTTCCGCAGAGCGCCCATGCCAGCCGCCTGCTTCCCCATCGACTGACTCCTCGGCAGGGAGAGGTGATGAACTTGAACTCCTCAAGACACCCTAAGCTTGTTTCAATATATGTATATTTTTTTCTTTTCGATCCAAAGTCCGTGGTGCCAGAACAAGACACCTCCTCTCCAGCCAGGCCAGCAACAACTTGGCTTCTGGAGATCTGGCTTCAGGCTCCAGCTGGACCAAAGCCCCATCCTCATCACTGTCTCAACCAGGATGTGTAACAGAGAGAGCAGAAGGGAGTTGTCTTCTCTCTTTGGCCCAGGCTCTAGCTCTGGAGTCACTGGGGAAGTCTGGAAAACCAGAAAATGCCCAGGTATTAAACAAGCCAGCCCCAAGATGCAGGGACAAAAGACTTGCTTCATTCTGCCTGAGCTGAGAAGCAGCAGGAGATCCAAGGTGACCTTGCTGGGAAGTCTACGCCAACTGACCAGCCTCATCTCTTCTGGACAGGGCACATATCTGTGTAGCAGGTTGCTCATCCTGGGCAAGATCAACCCTGTAACCCATATTGAAGGTTTTTGAGGGTACCTGAACACTACTAGGGAGGACACCACCTCCCATGGACACGAAAGGAAAATTATAGTGTGAAAACAGAAAAGGGAAACAGAGTCTCACTACAAAGAGCAGCACAGTCCCAAAGGGACAGGTACAGCTCAGCTCCAGGGCAGCGCTGGGATCTGGACATGGAGAGAGCCCTCGGGGAAGGATGTGTGCTGCAGGTGGGAACTGCTTTGGGAAGGCTTTTTCCCACGGGACAGGTTGTATTGAGGATCCACCCAACAGAGCTGCTGGGTGTAACCTGGGCAGGCCACCTGTGCACCTTTCTCAGGGGAGATGTGTCTGGGGTTGGACCGGCCCACGTTTGGGTGCAGCACATCTCTGTCCCGGCACAACTGCATCTCCTAAGCATCTCCCAGCCGGCAGGACCACGAGCTTTGCCAGGCTCCTGCCAAACACTTTGTGATGGACACAGAGCCACGTGTGGCGGCGCTGGGCTGCTGCATGGCAGTGTCCTGCTGATAGCTACACACCTTGCAGGAGGGATACTTGGTCCATTGTCTGGAGTAAAGGAATAAACCTTGAGCTGGCCAAAGGCTTGTGAGACGTCGGGATCAAGGGCTCCTCATGGACACGGGAGCATGGCTTGTCCTTGCATAGCAGAGCTCACCGGTGGCAGCAGGGCAGGATTTATCCTCAGCTCCCCAAATAAGAGGTTTTTTTTGCACCAGTCTGTGCTGTCACGGCAGCCAGGCAGATTTCTTCCGTTCTGGTTCCCCCATGAAGCAGTCTTTTGCACAGAGGTGTTGCTGCACAACTTGGGAAGAGGTTTATCGGGTCCTTGAGCACGTTCCTGCAGCAGCAAATGGGGTCACGTCCCATCTTGGTCCTCCAAGGACCCCAACCTGCCATCGCACAGGGGTTTTCCTCCATCAGACAGGTTTGATCCACACCTCCCAGCCAGAGCCTGTGGGACAGTGCTGGTTCATGCTGGGACTGGCAGCCCCCCCCCCAGCTCCCTTCGGTGTCGTGAAGTCAGTCCTGTCTGTCCTCCCTTCCTCCCCTACAGTTTATGTTACAGTAACACAAGTTAAATAATGCATGGCCCTGTTCCCTAACACCAGAGATTATTTCAAAGAAGATTTAACTGTGCTCCAAAATACAACTGTAAAACAACAACTCTTGGGTGTTTCTTTATTTAAAAAGTGTTATTTTTTTTCCTGGGTAACAGGCTCCCTCACTCAGGGAAGGTTTCAGTTTAAAACAGGCACTTCCTTTGGTTTCTTCCTCAAAGCAGGGGCTAAACCAACTGTTGCAAAATCAGATTCCCTCTCATCTTCCTCACCTCCAGGTAGGTTTAGGCTGAGCAAACTGCATTGGGTGCACCTGGAGCAAGGGTGGAGGCAGCAGTAGGCTTGGCTGCTTGAAAGTAGGTATTTGGAGTTAAAATGTACATGAAAGTAGGTATTTGGAGTTAAAATGTACATGAAAGTAGGTATTTGGAGTTAAAATTGACCCTGAGCTTTTCTGGAAGGGATGATGGAGACCCTTTGCTGCTGTCAGACCCATCAGATGAGCTCAGCTGCTCCATCCTCTACTGCACAGCTCACAGGATCTTTATCCACCAGCCTTTTATTTTAGTTGGTTTCTTGCCTACCCTAACACCAGGCATTGCATCTCCCTGCTCAGGAACATACACCTTAACCCTCCAAATTAAGGCCACCTTCTGCTGGTCACACACCTGTAAAACCTCCTACACCCTGTGCACAGCCTGGTTGCAAGCACTGCAATGAAAAAAAAGTGCCATTTCCTTTCCTTTGAGCAATTTACCATAGGAATTTACCTAAATTTGCAGCAGAGGAAGCATCCTGCCAGCAATTTCTGCCCAGTTCACTGAGACCCACAAACTTTACTGGAAACACAACACTTGAATGGAGTTTTTGGTCAATTTAAATGCAAACCAGGTTTCAAAGCTTTCAGTGCCCTGCCTTGCCTTAAAGCAGGGGCTGCCATTCATAGGATGATTAAATATTTCCTTACCTCCTCCTGTCTCTGACCCCGGTTCTTCTTGGCCCATGCTTCATTTCAGGTGTCCCACCACGGGGTTGATACACCAAGAGCAGACAAAGAGACAAACCAAACCCTATCTGGCCATACCCCCTCCCTTAAATTGCTGCCTCGTTAGTGGGTGCCCAGCCCTGCAACTGATGCTCATGTAACACAGCTGGTGGGGTTGAGGTCCTGCTCCCACAGGAGAGGGGATTTGGGGTGAAACCCACGGTCAGGAGAACAAATGAACTTGTGTGTGGGGAGAGGGCTGGTTCTGGCGCCTGGGATGGAGCTGGGGATTTCTCCCACGAACAGCCCCAACGCTCCCCTATCTGCTCAGGAAATAAACTTGAGTTTAAATATTGACTCTCTCCTGCACAAAGCCGGGATGGGTGGAGGTCGGGGCCGTTCTGTGCCCGCGCGGTTTATCAGCCCTCGGTGGAAAACAGATTGTCGGGACTTTGGCCTCATCTGCTCCCAGCTACCGGGGGGGAGAATGGAGGCAACGACCGCAGCCGGGAGAGGGAAATTCAGGTCAAGGCTGCCCTGACTCTCTGCAGGGCTCGGATGTTTGGGTCTGGAAGGATTTGGGAAGCAACAAGGTGCTGGTGAAGCTCTTGTGCCCAGGGAAAGTGCAGCTGAACTGGGACTGATTGCACCATCCTTCCCT